GATTCCACAATGTAATTTTACTTTGATGATGTATTTGGTTTACCCGATTTGATATAAGCGATTTTAAAGCAAGTTTATTGTGTCAATATTTGCGAATTAAACATAGAATTGAATGTATTATTTTTAAATAACTGATGAGAAAATTATATTTTTTTTTCTTCAGAGGAAAGAATCAACAACCTGAGGCTCTACAACATGAATTGCGTCGGAGATGAGCGCAGATGGCTGCAAGATATTCTACTGAGTGATTCCTCAGACAGTTCACAATCTGGATCTGATACAGAAGGACCCATAACCGAGGACGACTTCCAAGACATGTTGAAATTTCACATTCTTCGTAAGAAGTACCAGGGGCGGTTCTATCAGAAACCAGAGAACATTCAGTATCAGTATTATGGAGCTGGTTTGCTCTCAACAAGTGATAGGTTTCCAGAACACCAGAAACTCATTGTGGGAAATAAAAAGAGGAAAGAAAAAAAGTCTGAGAAGAAAACGATTAAAGTGAAGAAAGAAAAGACAACTCGTCATTATAACACGTCCGACATGTGTCAGGGGCACGATTATCCTGCGGAAGAGTGGGACAAGATGATGCCAAAGGAGGAGATGGATGAATCCGAATTGGAGTCGATGATGAGGCATCAACCAAAGGCAAGAGGTAGGAAGAAGCACAACGCTAAAACACCTGAGATGATGGCCCTTAAAAGACGTAAAATTTGGATAATGATGTCGAAGAAAGAACTTGGTAAAGTCCAACGAGCCAAAACGAACAACCACAAAGAGATGTTGATTAGTTGTAAAAAGGTAGCCCAACACTGTATGAAGTACTGGAGACAGAAAGCTATGCAATCGCAGAAGAACATGAAGGAAACAATCTGGAGAGCTAAAAGATTAACAAGAGAGATGCAATCTTACTGGAAACGCTACGATAGGGTCGAAAGAGAAACTCGAAGAAGATTGGAAAAAGAAGCTGAAGAGCAACGCAAAATGGATGTTGAATTGATTGAGGCAAA